TGGAAGGCAAAGCCAAGTTGGCGTCCAAAATGCTGGGAGTCCTCAACAGAGCGAAGCGGTACTTCACGCCTGGACAAAGACTTTTGCTTTATAAAGCACAAGTCCGGCCTCGCGTGGAGTACTGCTCCCATCTCTGGGCCGGGGCTCCCAAATACCAGCTTCTTCCATTTGACTCCATACAGAGGAGGGCCGTTCGGATTGTCGATAATCCCAGTCTCACGGATCGTTTGGAACCTCTGGGTCTGCGGAGGGACTTCGGTTCTCTCTGTATTTTATACCGTATGTTCCATGGGGAGTGCTCTGAGGAATTGTTCGAGATGATACCGGCATCTCGTTTTTACCATCGCACCGCCCGCCATCGGAGTAGAGTTCATCCGTACTACCTGGAGCCACTGCGGTCATTCACAGTGCGTTTCCAGAGATCTTTTTTGCCACGTACCATCCGGCTATGGAATGAGCTCCCCTCCACGGTGTTTTCCGAGCGCTATGACATGTCCTTCTTCAAACGAGGCTTGTGGAGAGTATTAAGCGGTAGGCAGCGGCTTGGCTCTGCCCCTGGCATTGCTGAAGTCCATGGGCAACGGTAACCACTCACCATCAGGTGGGCCGTATGCTCGTCTGCCTACAAGGGCAATAAAAAAATAATAAAAAAAACACAAAAAAAGTAGAAAAAGAGTACTAGATATTTGTTGGCTGTCTTTAATTTTATTTCGTAGTTTTATTCGAAATATCTATCGAGTCGTTTGAAAATGTATTAGACGAAACCAGTAATTTAATGATGTGTGATGAATTTTCGAATAGTTTTATGGCTCCTAATACATCCTGGGGAGATGCTAATTTTATTAATACTAATTAGACTACTCGCATTCCAGATCGAGTTTAGAATGTTTTACTTAATAAATATTTTAATGGGTTCCCCGAGTCCGGTTGGAAATTCTGTAAACTAATAACAACTACTTTTGCTTTCGTTGAACTTCTAGAAGTTCCGTTTCGCGATATATTTCGTAGCTTAACGTGTTTTTTTAGATCAGATTACTTCTGATTTGAATGTTATTTGTTTTTGGAATTGTGTCTTTATTAAGTTGAAAACGGATGTTTTGTTAATCTAGATGATAAGAAAATACTTAAAATCTACTTATAAAAGTTCGGGGTTTTTTTTATTGTTCTAGATAGGCAGGCGTGCCCACTTACCACCTTTTTATTTTTTATTGCCTAGATGTGTGGACGAGCTCACACCCACCTGGTGTTAAGTGGTTACTGGAGCCCATAGACATCTACAACGTAAATGCGCCGCACACCTTGAAATATAAGTTCTAAGGTCTCAGTATAGTAACAACGGCTGCCCTACCCTTCAAACCCAAACGCCTTACTGCTTCACAACAGAAATAGGCAGGTTGATGGTACCTACCCGTGCGGACTCACAAGAGGTCCTACCACCGGTAAACCTGCATCCTGGACCATGGACATCACAGCGTCAATATCGCTGTCTCAAGATACCTTGAGACACGAGTATGGCGGCATTCACGTAGTGATGTCTATAGACTATGGTAACCACTTAACACCAGGTGGGCCGTGAGCTCGTCCACCCAATTAAATAATATCTATAGGTGAATTTGATTTTCTTCTCATCCCCGCCCGCTTTAAATCATGACGTCACTTTTAATTTCAAAGCAATAATAACTATCCACTTTTAAAAATGGAATTCTCAATATGTTTCGTTTGTTATATGTTATGTTTGAAATCGAATGAATAGTTTAAGAAGCCATAGAAAAAGGAACATTCATTTTTATTCAGAAACTACCCACCCATCAAACAAAACAAGGGAATTCTTTCAAGCGGCTTTAACTAAAAAAAAAAGAATATTTTCTTTTTATATTTAATGTAAATGCTATTTATCGTACAAATTAAGTGCAGAGCGAAGAAGACGCCGGCCGTAAAAGTAGAAGTTTTTCTAAAACCCACAATATCGTGCCTGACTTACTGCCTGTATTTTTGGCAAACTTGGTCGTAGTCCAATTAAGCCAGCAGGCGCCGATACCCCAACTTCTGTTAACTGTGCCACAAATTGTCGGTATACAATTTTATTAAACTATTCACTAGTATTTTTAATTAAAACTACTTTTCCAGTTTAATCTCCCTAATTTTTATTATAATATTTTAAATTTACTTTAATTTATATTATATACAATTATGGTTGATAATTGATTATCGATATTGTGCACAATTTTCAAATTTCGATGAATAGCCTCGGTGACCACGGAAACTGTACAATATTTGAAATTTCGAAAATAATGACAGTTAAAAACGCGAATTCAAAACATAAATATATGTAGTTTTAATTACGTCTACGACTCGCGCTAACCGAAGAAAATACTAGTGGTTTATTCAAATGCTTTCCACCAGGGCGTTGGCAGGTAATGAATAATTAAGACATCTTATTACGTACGAAACCTTGAACATGATTTTAAACTCTTCAAAAAGTGGGATTAACTCAAAATCTGGCATACTCATCAAAAAAAGATGACAATTCAATATTTGAAGCCGTTAAACTTTTTATCCTTACTAGAATAATCATGATTAACGATTTTTCGTTGGCACTATCTCCCAATTTTGATAGTTCTTCCACAATATTTACAAAGCCTTATTCAACCGCTGTACAAATTAATAGCCTATTAATATGATCATATTTGAAATTAATACCATATTTAATAAATAAAAAAAAGATGTGTTGTGTCGTGGGACACCGGATAGGAACGAAGTTCCTAATTATAAAATTATTAATTTTAAGTTCTATTCGAGGTATAAAGAAAATAATTAATCGTGTATACACTTTTTTTTTTTTTTTTTATAGATAAAAATAAAAATAATCGCAAGGTTCAACCACTCCGCAATGGACCAGTCTCGCCCTGGGGGTACCGCCTGCATGATCACGGTATCCTCTAAGCCAGGTAAGTATGAATTAGCAAGAGAAATACAAGAACGTCTATCAACTGTGTAACATCTCGTCACCGCGATTTGTTGAATTTACGTGCAGCAACATCTGTTGATAACAAACTAAATAGAAAAAATCTTACGTTACGGACGCTTTTTCCCGGTTAGGGTACCCCTCCGCATCGTCCCATAAGGAACTTCGTTCCAAAAACGCTCTTATAGAAAATGCGACTAAGAAATTTAAAAAAAATGATTGTTAAAAAAACGTACCTTTATAAAAAACCAAACTAAAAAATGGAAATGAATTAGACAGCTTAAAAAACTAAAAAAGGCGCTTTTATACAAAAAGCCAAAAAGTGTGGGGTGCCTTTTATGATATTATCAAAACGATAATTCTTCTATTGCCAATGTATATAAATCTACTGCCGATATGATATCTGTCAATAAAATATTAATAGCTATTGACACCACGCACCCTACGCCTTTTCACAATAAATTTATTTCCTATTTTTTAATAGGATTTTCTATAAAGCTTGTTTTTAGATGTTTTATTTTTTATTTACTTAGACAGCCGTTGTATCTGCGTAACCCAGTAGCTGTGTAATATCCAATACAGAACACACACTACGTTAATACAGACTCAAACTCATTTGCATACATAATATAATTCAGCATTTTAAATTTAGAACATAATTAAAAAAAACAACGTTTTACATTTTCCTTGGATCGTCCTTCCATGGATATATTCGTAAAGGTCATCGTACCCGACAAAGTGCTCTAGATATTTCTTTACCGTTAATTTGAAAATGCAATGGGCTACGGAGCGGACCGGACCTATTTGGCAGTGGCCCGTGTCGTTATGGTTGTATGTTATTTCGTGGAGGAAGCGAGAAGATGAGGTAGTGCGCAGTGCACCATCCGCGGATCGCAGTGCGTCGGTCAAAGCGGCGCCGGCAGCTTGGCACGGAACTCGGTCATCGTCCCCTGCCTCCATAAACGCCTCCACAGGCTTGAGCCAAAACAATTTCGCCAAATTTCTTACCAGTATCCTGACACGCATGATTTTACGATCCCTGCGCCTATCTCTCTCGATGGGACTCGTTTTCGACGATGCCAATCCTGATCTTTTTTTGAATTTCGAGGCTGTTTTAGTATTTATCACATGGCGAGATCAAATTTTGCTCGCATATCTAAGTTTGGTACAGAGACGTAAATTCCAGAAGGATTAAAAACATGTTCTGTCATGTCCCTAACTCTTTTTTTTTTTTAAAGCAATCCGATCACATTAATTCTTCAAATAACTTTACGGAATATTTTAATTTATTGTATGTCATTTTAGCAAAGTAATAAAATATTTAAGCGCCAACATTAGCCTTCTTCGTAAATGCCGCATATTGGTCCACCTTGAATTTTGATAATAAATTTTGATCATACCAATATTACTCGTCGGAAAAAAGAAAAAAAAACTTATTTAAATTTATTGTCATTTTGAACATCCGCATACGTACGATCTAGTTCGGTTATATGCTTATTATTGGTTTAATATCATGGTCATATATTATTTATGAAGAACATTCTCGTTTAAAGATAAGTATCGAATTTTTGAGAAAAGTAGTTCATTCAAAACAATCCGAAGTTTCGTGATCGTTTAAAGAATCAGAAATGATGTCATAGAATACTTTTTAGAATTTAAGTCGGTTTTCCGCCTTTCCCTGCAGCATATGATTGATGTTAGAAAATATCATATTACCTGGTAAATAATTGGTAATAATCCCACTTAGGTTAGCATAACAGGTTGTTCATTATTAACAAATTTTAATAACCATAAAAAAGTTAGTAGGACCTGATTAATGGGAAGGGAAGGAATTATTACTGGGTTCATAGATATGTTATACTTCTCGAAAAATGAGGTGGCAGTCACATTTTTCTTAAATGTAGTAAATCTAGCTTATAGGCCGGAATGCCATGTGGGACTGCATTAATGTAGTGTGACGTCAAAAATATTTTGGCTGTGTGTGGTATCGAAATTAAAAGTAAATTATATCGAAATATAAATTTATTATCACATTTCATAAATAAATATCTTAATTAAAAATGTTCTAATTACTTAATTCTAAATATAAATTACATTTACCTAAACAGACACGAGACATACTTTTAGTTCGTCGCAACGAAATCTAAAATATTTCACACTTTTACGCTTTATATTTAAACAGCGATACTTTTATGAGATACAACATCAACATGAGAAAAATTCGACTGAAACAGATCAACGCTAATATTTTTCTAAATGTCGAATTCGTGAACGATTTCATTCGTGACCTATATGAGATGATGATTCTTTAAAAATGATCCGTACTCAGTCAAGAAGATCAATCAAATCAGTGGGTGTTGCAATTAAAATTGTCTACATAAAATGAAAATACTGATGGTGATGAAGTTGAATTTTTGTGCCGGTGAATTTTAATTGACTTTCTCCAGTATCCACTTTCCGGAGTACGGTGTTTCTAGTCGCTTGACCTTAGGACGGAATCCGTTTTCGTCGGCGGTGTAGTCCACTCGGTACATGAAGCCGTCAGGACCGATGTACTCGTAGAAGCCCTTGGAGGCTATACCTTCGTCAATGGAGTTAGCGTTTTTCAAAACCGCCTTCTCTTCAGCACGGATCTTGTTTTCAGTTTCGAAACTGAAAATTAAAATGTAATTAAAATCGTTAAAGCGATTTAAATATGTCATGAGTTACAAAGCAACGCTCTAAGTAAACATAGCGCTAACAATAGCTAAAAAAATTCAATGCCTAGAATCCAATTGTAATGCTTCCGGATAATTAATTTATTGTAGATCTTAATTATGAGTTCCTTCCTGTGCATCATATTATTGTAATTAATGTCGATACAATGGCGATATAAATTCTTTGCTTCACGTTATTCTTTGTAACCTAACAGCATGTAATGTCAATTGGATTGTCATAAATGATTATAAATAGTTTTGAACTTTAACCCATGTATAATATGTTGGCGTCGTTTTGTGTATTCGGTCAAGGCTCATTTTTTCTTCTCGGAACGAATTGATCTCTTTAATAGTATTGTATGATCAAGGACTATTACGTAGATTACATTTTAATGTGCATTATTATTTGCAACCTACTTAAGAATTATAAATTCAATATTAAATTTGACTGATTACGCGTTCATGTTAATTTTATTATTTACGTAAACCTTACAGAAACGATAAATCAGCCTTCGTTTCGTGAAATTGTCGGATCTCTGGAAATTTCTGATAAGAACGCCCAGGACCGCCCTTATCTTTAGGAGTTCGAACGTAAATAAGTTTTATTGTTATCGTTAAAATACTAAAACCGTGATCTTGAATTATTGACCGTTGCAGTATTTATCAACGATCTCGAAATATTATAAAAATAAAAACTGGCTACTTATTTAAAAAAAAATTACTTACTCAAAATCGTATTTGTCCTCGTCGTAGTTATGCTTCTGCTTGATGATTTTGATGCCATTGTTTTTGTAGTAGCCGTCCTTATAGAAGGGGATGTCTTTGGGTGGCGTCAAAATCAGCCTGTATTGATCTTGAACTGTAGCCTCCCCAACATAAGGTTCATAGTCGTGTGCATATGGTCCAAAGCCACCATCGTAAGGGTTATCATTGTGAATGTAAGGGTTTGGAATGTGAATATATTTTCCTTCGTCTGTGGGGATGTATCTGGAAGAAATTACGAATTATGTAGATACAGAAGAAAATTAAAAGATTTTATTTTAAGGGTTGTGTCTAACCTTTTTTTCATATTACAGATATTACATACATGTAATTACGTAAAATAATATTATTATGTATTTACTAAATTCTTGTATTGGGCAGATATTGAAATTAATACATACAAGTTGCATTGACATTTACTTACTTGCCAGAATCGCCGTATTGGTAAGGATGCCATTTTCCATCCTCAACAGGTACACCCACTGCGGCTACGACGCATAACGCAATGACATACTGCACCTGAACAATAACATTGATTTATGACCAAAAAAATACTTTATTAAATTATTTTGGAGTAAAAATGAAATTTTATTACTTTTGAAAAAAAAAACAAAAAAAAAAACAAGAAAACTAAAAATTAACCTTGAAAGAATTCATCCTTAATGCACTTTGTTTATAGTTTCGGTTCCAACAACAACAACTCCTGTTACAGTTGTCCGGGGCACTGGTAAGCACTGCAAGACGCGAGATCACTATGCGGAAACTCGTTCACGGTCACCACTCCGCCGGTGTGTACACTCCTTAGAAGATTTGAAATGCTTGTGTTGATTTCGAAATCGACGCCACGCTTTTATACATTTGCAACATCAACTCATCACTTCTGCGGGAATAACGAAGGCGTGCGCGCCCCGCGTGCGTCACACGTTCACGCGTCTTTGCGTCTTTATTCCATCGTGGATCCTATTTTTTTTTTTTTTTCTTAGGTGGGTGGACGTTCTCACAGCCCACCTGGTGTTAAGTGGTTACTGGAGCCCATAGACATCCACAACGTAAATGCACCACCCACCTTGAGATATAAGTTCTAAGGTCTCAAGTATAAGGTGGCGTGATGGTTAGTAAAAATACTTATATTTAAATACTTATATTTAAATACTTATATTTATTTATTTATAGTTACAATTGTTGGCCAAGCACTTTATTGGAGTATTAGTGTCACGCAAAATTTTCGCATTTGCACTTAAAGTACATGAACTATTCAGGACTGCAAACCCACTTGATAAATTGCTGCGTTAAGCAAAATTATTGCAGCCATATGAGGTCAGGAAGCTGGCGACTTTTTTAATTATTATTATTACAAAGGAAATGCTCTTATGTGAGTCACTTTATAGGATCAATTGCTTTCGATAGTTTTTGTTATTCGTAACCCCAACAGAGCTACGTAGGGGATAAATCAGATTTGTATATAGTTACTTGATTTTTCACTGATGGCAGGACCTCTTGTGAGTCCGCATGGGTAGGTACCACCACCCTGCCTATTTCTGCCGTGGAGCAGTAATTCGTTTCGGTTTGAGGGGCGGGGCAGCCATTGTACTGTTAAAAATGAGACCTTTCAACTCATGTCTCAAGGTGGGTGGCGGCATTTACGTTGTAGATATCTATGGGCTACGGTAACCACTCAACACCAGGTGGGCCGTGAGCTTATCCACCCATCAAAGCAATACAAAATAAAAATAAATCTCGAAGCACTAGCTTTGTGGTAAACTACATATTTTGAGAAAGATTCTCTTAGCAAAACCACCAATATTTTCTTAGTCCAAAACAAATATACAACCTGTTTATAACCTTATTCGAGATCAGAGAAATAATATTTTCGTAATTATTATTTCCATTAAGCTAACATTGAGTACTACTGAGTAAACAATATCATTTATTAAAATAACGATCATTAGTGGTCGTTACATTATTATGTTTATTCAAAGTTCAAAAACATGATCTCGATACTAATGCTGTAGGTAAGTATCGCAAAAGCTAATACGATACTGGCATTTGAGAAATACAATAACTTTTTTATTTTTTTATTTGCAGATACTTTAAGACCGAATGTGATTGTTAGATTCGTCTGTCATGTATCATTTATGAGGGTATCTGTTTTAGAATTTATTTGAAATGTGAAATTGAATTTGTTTTACGTTAATAATATAGCTACTGATTGGAACATTTCAAATTTATAGTCGAATTTTTGTAACTATCAATTGTGTAATTTTCTTGTTAAAATTGCTTTTGCTCTAATTCGTATCTTTTACCTACCAATGATCACTTTGAGATCACGCCTCAAAGTGAAGCAATGATGAAGTAAGTAGCCTAAGTGATTAAGGTATCCTTTTGGAGAATTAGACATAATATGTGTTATTTACCTCAATTTTAACTTCTTAAATTTCACTTTATACAAACAATTACCCGTAGCTTGGATTCTTTCCTGTGTTTGGCCTAATGTCTAAACATATAACCAAGATAAGAACAAGTACACCGAAGTCAGAATATGAACTCACAGCTTCTTTATCTCAACGGCTGCAAGTTCCACTGTCATGACCAACGCGATTGCCATCAACCAGTTTAGGACACATTATCAAAGTCACAATTGCGTTTCAATAATGTAAATTCGCAGATGATGCACTAATGAAGCAGATATCCAGGATGAAGACACATGCTATCTTTCATGATTCCCGGTCAGTTAAAATCCTGTTAATCAAATCCGCAGGCATTCCACGCGTTTATTAAAACCGAAATGAGCATGACGTTTTGAAGGTCATGATTCTTAGATTAGTTGTTATTATAATATATGCCATTTTTAATTTATATTCATTTTTATTGGAGTCGACAGGTTGCCTAGTTAGGGTTAAGATGTTATCGGAGTCCTTAGGTAGTCATCTCATCATTACAACATGAATTTTACGACCTGATTTGAGATCAGATATATTTGTTTTGTTGAAATAACGACTGATGGTACAAACCCGAACAAGTTCACAATACTACTATGCCAATTAAAAAAAATCGTTTGGAATTTGTTCTCTAATATTACTTTTTCTCATTAAACGACCTTAATCGCGTCATAAGTCGAATAGGATGTTTGTTAGCAACGTAAGAAATTCTGAGGAAAACCTGAATATTTCTAAATTAGCATTCCAAACAGGCCTGGCCTTATTAAATCATGTGATTAATTGTTCGATTTCGTCTTTTGCTACAATACCGATTTGTCTCTTTGAATGAGATTTACTTTCTTATATTTATGAACGGGTTAAATAAAAAATCAGTCTGTCATTGTGTTTGTTTGTTTAATTTAATTCTTTGTTTGTTTTTTTTTTATATTTTGTAGCTTATTGAATTTACAACAAAGACTTATTGAGAGTAATGATGTTTAGTATAATATAAATTTTTATGCTTAATAATATTTGTTTTATTAAAAAGAGTTTTTTTCTTTCTTTTAGTACTGGATTGGCATTTAAATTAAGCTAAAATTTCAAACTTTATTTATCTTGTACTTCAATAATAAAAATAGAAAGTGAAGCATATGTTAGTTCTAAATATTAATGTTTCATTTCTATTACTAATACCAGGGTAGTTCGTGATCATGAAAATTGAAAAGTACCTATTTGAAATATAGGCAATAGAAAGGGGACAAATAATAATAATCATAAAAAAAACAGTTTTTCATTTCGTACAAAATTCACAAAACTATTTTCAGTAAAACTAAATTTTCTCTAATTATGACATACTAGTGGTCCCCTGGTAGTCGAAATTCGACTATAACTAATGGAAATTATAAGTTTGTACACTATTATGATTCTATTGTCAAGGACTATTATACTTCTTTAATCACAGATTTCGTCACGTCTACACTTTAGGGTCGATTCGACCAAACAAGAGTAAATCTTATTCTTAGAATAACTCGTCAGTTAATCGAGAGTAAATCAATTTTACGTTTTACCAACTACAATTCTAAGAATAGTGGGCCTATTCGGGAATTGTTACTATACCGCCGTTTCGCACGGAATAACGGAGCTATTCCTAGAATAAAGTAATGGCGTCTGTCAGTCCAACATCTGATTTCTGTCATTTCATAAATATTTATTCTGTTTTAATTTCAAGTCAACGCAATGCACTAAATGATTATTAATAGTCTGAATGCAACGTTTAAACGAAAAAAGATAAAACCACACGACAAAACTTGACAATTCCCTCAAACAAACAAGAAATAAAAATAATACGTTTGACAGCTGGATATCTTACACAACAGCTACTTTTTCACACTAAAATACGGCAAAATCGAGTTGACGATTTGTATGCTCTTACACTATGCCGTTGAACAACAACATTTATTTGCCGGATTTTATTTTTGTTCACCATTCACTCTGCTATTCGCGTATTGTTATTCCTAGCGCAAGTATACGTGGAAAAACGACTATGAATTTACTCGAGATTAAAATCATGGAATAGGTTATTCCTCGTATAGTTACTCGAGTTTAAATTTAAGTTTGGTCGAATCCGCCCTTAGACAAATATTAATAAAGAGAAAACAATATTTAATCTATTCTCAATTTGACAGACTATAACTGACAGATTGCAAAGAAAAGTTTGACAATAAACAAATAGTATGCATGCGTATGTGTGTCAAATATACATGGTAGTGTGTGTAATATTTTCTTTATTGATTTAAGGTATCTTTTATGCATTCTTTTAAAAAAATATTAGCATTGTGCACTTCTTCTCTATATTCTCTATAAGTGTGGAAAACTGCATACTCCTCCGTTCGCGCAATTTTCGTAAAAAGGGATACAAAGTTTTTGCTTCACGTATTAATATATAGATTACCTTAACTTTGTAACTGGCGAATATTGGGCCGACGTTTGACTGTTGAAGATCTTTTGTCATCCATTGAAATATCAATTTTCACCTAATTTCCTTTACATATTTCAGGGCAAAAATACTTAATTCGAACTGCCACATATTCCTCTGTTATTACACGTTAAAACATACATTTCATTTAATGTCGAAAACCATTATTTGTCACATGCAAACCAGTATGCACATACTAGTGTTTAATTAAATATAAAAAGCCCCGAACAGGTTAATTTGAAACACTTTTGCTGCCACTGTGTTTAGATATCTCATTTTAAGTGCACACTTGTTAACCTACTCATAAGTATTACTTATTTTCATAACTGTTTACGTTGGGTGGACTCGATTACATTTGATTGTCATTTAGTGACACGGTTCTGAGGTGTATTCTGATAGTTATTGAATTATTTGTTATTGACGTGTTAGTTTCTTCTAATTATTTTAAAGGCGTATGTTATTGTAAATTTTTACAACTTTAGCCTTTCCTTATCATTTACAACTTTATTTATCACTAAAGACTAGAGCCAAATTGTTTCAAGCACAAATATGGGATCAGTTTTAGTGGTAACAATAATGCTATATTTTAATTAGTTTATTGTGTAGTATTCTGTAAGTCCGCACGGATTCCTACCATTATTTAGCTTATTCCTAGGGAAGCAGTTAAACGTTGCGGTTTGAAGATAGGAAAGCCAAATGAGACTCAACCTCGTGACTTAAAGAGTAGCCCACTCACTTTGAGATATATTTGGAATAAACGCGAGCTTCTTCCAAAAATTTAAAAATAAAACTGCTCGTCAATGCAACCCTTGTTTTCAATATGTTCTTTATTTATATAATATAGAAATATAAAATAAATCTTGAATATTTTTTTTTTTACAGGCACGGCTGGTTTATTTTTATAAGA